TTCAACAGGATATACTCTCAATTTCTGAATTCTTCTCTCATTTCATGAATCTTTGGCTGAATATACTGACATTGTCTATAAAGATTTGTTGACTGAAAGACAAACTGCAGTCCAAAATGTTCATGACAGCACAAAACGAGATCAATTTCTTATGAAATTGAGATCTACTTTTGAGGGCATTCGCACCAACCTAATGAACAGGGCTCCTGTTCCCTCCTTGGATGAATGTCTAAATGAATTGCTTCGTGAAGAACAACGTCTCCTTACTCAGACAAACATGGAACACCAGAAATCTGCCTCCCTTCCTGTAGTGTATGCAGTACAAGCCAAACCACGAGGTCGAGACATGAGTACTGTCCAATGTTTCTGCTGCAAAGGCCATGGACATTTTGCTTCAAACTGTCCTAAAAAGTTCTGTAATTACTGCAAAAAAGAAGGTCACATCATCAAAGAATGTCAAATCAGACCACCACGGAGAAATGCAACAGCCTTCACTGCCACTGTTGGCTCTTCTACTACTCCTGTTTCTGTGGATCAGAATCCGCCTGTTTCTGTGCCAACTTTAACCCCTGAAATGGTTCAACAAATGATTGTTTCTGCATTTTCTGCTTTGGGTCTTTCAGGTAAAGTTTCTTTATCCAGCTCTCCTTGGTACTTTGACTCTGGCGCATCCAATCATATGACCAACAATGTTGCTTCTCTTACCAATGTTACAAATTACTCTGGTAATTTACAAATACACACTGCGGATGGAAACAATTTACCTATCACAACAATTGGTGATATTTCTTCATGTCTTACCAATGTTTATGTTTCCCCTAATCTCACCAGTAACCTTATTTCAGTTGGTCAATTAGTTGACAGTGATGCAAAGTTGAATTCTCAAAGTCTGGTTGTCATGTGCAGGATCAACACTCAGGGAAGGTGATCGCGAAGGGGCCTAAAGTTGGACGTCTTTTTCCTCTTTATTCATTGTTGTCACCATGTTCTTTTCAGCCTTTTATTTCTTGTAATTCTGCAACTGTTAATTTTCAATTATGGCATAAGCGTCTTGGTCACCCAAATTCGAATGTACTTCATGCCTTAATGAAATCTGGAGTTCTTGGCAATAAACATTTCCCATCTTTTAGTGCTGTTCAATTTGATTGCAATTCTTGTAAACTTGGTAAAAGTAAAATTCTACCATTTCCAGTTCATCAATCAAATGTAAATCATCCTTTTGACATAATTCACAGTGATTTATGGGGCATCACACCTGTAATATCTCATGCACATTACAAATATTTTATCACTTTTATTGATGACTATAGTCGTTTCACATGGGTCTATTTTTTGCGATCTAAAGCTGAAGCTTTCTCTGCATTCCAATTTTTTCATTCCTATGTTCAAACTCAGTTTGCATCAAAAATTAAAACTCTGCGTTCTGACAATGGGGGAAATACACATCTCATTTGTTTCAAGAGTTCTTGCAGAAAAATGATATATTATCTCAAAGGTCGTGTCCTTCCACACCCCAACAAAATGGGATAGCTGAAAGAAAAAACCGTCATCTTCTTGATGTTGTCCGTACCTTAATGTTGGACTCTTTAGTACCCTCCCGTTTTTGGTGTGAAGCTCTCTCAACTGCTGTCCACCTTATTAATCGGCTGCCTTCTCCAGTCTTGCACAATGATTCCCCTTTCTTAAGGTTATTTGGTAAGCAACCCAATTATTCAACTCTTCGCACCTTTGGTTGTGTCTGTTATGTTCATCTTCAACCACCAGAACGCACCAAACTCACACCTCAATCTGTTAAATGTGCTTTTCTTGGTTACTCAGCCCATCAAAAAGGTTTTTTATGCTATGATCCTCACTTACATAGGATTCGGGTTTCTAGAAATGTCATCTTTCAAGAAGATACATATTTTTTTGCTACTAACCAAGACACTCAATCTTCTACATCCAAATCTGTCTTGCCATTGTTTCCTAACAGTTTTGCAGAAGACCAACCTCGTCCTCCTGTCATTGTCTACCAAAGACGTCCGACTGTTCCACCAATTCAGACTTCAATCCCTTCAAGGCTCCCTTCTGATCATTCTCTGGCTGCTGATCCAGTGCATGCACTAGAACCTGCCCCTTTACGTCGCAGTACTCGCATTCGTAAACCACCAGAAAAGTATGGTGTTTCTGAATCTTTAACTTTGACCGCAACTTTAGCATCTATTCCTATTCCTTCTTCATATAAACAGGCAATGGAGCATAAATGTTGGTAGGATGCTATAGAGACTGAACTTCTTGCACTAGAGGAAAATCAAACATGAGACATTGTTCCATGTCCTTCATCGGTTAAACCTCTTGGCAGTAAATTTGTATTCACTATAAAGTTACGTTCAGATCGATACAAGGCTAGATTGGTTGTTCTTGGAAATAAGCAAGAATATGGCCTAGACTATGAAGAGACCTTTGCGCCGGTGGCCAAGATGACTACTGTGCGGACTATTATTGCCATTGTTGCATCTGAATCTTGGCCAATTCACTGTCAAAATTCCTTCCTTCATGGTGACCTCAAAGAAGAAGTTTACATCAAACTTCCTACGGGTATGCCCTCACTATTACCTAATACTGTTTGTAAGCTAAAATGTTCTTTGTATGGATTAAAACAGGCACCAAGAGTGTGGTTTGAAAAGTTTAGCACAACATTACTTGGTTTTTCCTTCATCCAAAGTAGCTATGATCCATCTCTTTTTCTACAAAGGACCTCCAAAGGAATTGTGATTCTCCTTGTTTATGTGGATGACATTATCGTCACCGGCTCAGATCAAGAGGCTATCACTACAATCAAACAATTGATGCATACAACTTTTCACATGAAAGATCTTGGACAACTCACTTATTTCTTGGGATTAGAAGTACAATTCCAATAAAAAGGCATCTTTGTCACTCAGCACAAATGTACTCAGGATCTAATTCAGCTAGCTGGTCTCACCACTGCAACTATGGTTGACACTCCCATGGAAGTTAATGTAAAGTTAAGACGGGATGAAGGTGACCTTCTACAAGACCCAACTTTATATCGAAAGTTGGTAGGAAGTCTCATCTACCTCACCATCACAAGACCTGATATCTCTTTTGCTGTCCACACAGTCAGCAAATTCATGCAAAATCCTAGACACTTGCATCTTACAGCAGTACAACGAATCATTAAATATTTGTTGGCCACTCCCAGCCGTGGTATCTTCTTTCCGACAAATGCAACAATACAACTTCAAGCATACAGCGATGCTGATTGGGCTGGATGTCTCGACATAAGGAAGTCTACTACTGGCTGGTGTATGTTTTTAGGAGATGCCCCTATCTCCTGGAAATGCAAGAAACAAGAATCTGTCTCTAAATCCTCCACTGAAGCAGAATATCGGTCCATGTCTGCAGCATGCTCTGAGATTATTTGGTTACGGGGCCTTCTTTCAGAACTTGGTTATTCACAAGCAACACCAACTCCGTTGTATGCTGATAATACAAGTGCCATACAGATTGCAGCAAATCCTGTATACCATGAAAGAACAAAGCACATAGAGGTCGATTGTCATTCAATCAGGGAAGCTTATGACCGTAGAATTATCACTCTACCTCATGTCTCAACATCTGTTCAACTAGCTGACATCCTCACCAAGTCTTTGACACGTCAACGACATAATTTCCTCGTCAGCAAATTGATGCTTGTAGATTCACCAGCATCAATTTGAGGGGGGATGTCAATAGAATTGATGAGCAGAATATTTGGCATTATTTGTGCAGATTTGTAATTATATCCTTAATTAATTAGCCAGCTGTAGGTTATGATTTGTAATTATATCCTTAATTAATTAGCCAGCTGTAGGTTATGATTGTGTAATTATATCCTTAATTAATTAGCTAGCTGTAGGTTATGATTGTATAGTTATGATTGTGTAATTATATCATACTATTTAAATGAGAATTCTCCAAAGGAGAACATAAGGTTTTATCCCAATTTCTCTAAGTTTAACACTCCTTCCATAGCCTTCTCCAATGCTTCATCCCTTTTTTCCAAAGAACCTATTGTCTTCCTACCATTCAAGATCCGACAAGTTGGACCACTGTTAAAGTCCTTGGTATTTAGAATTCTAGGATCTCAGCAGCAAAGAGAGAAATAATAGAGAAAATTGGACTAGAGGCAAAGGAAGCTTCTTTATTATTATGAAGAAATGGATACAAGAGAATGAATCTTCCTATCAGGGCACTCTCCTTGACCCTGAGATGTCCCTCAGTACTCTCAATACAAAAATGACAATGCCTGTCCCAACTAGCTAACCCCAGTAATAAAGTCTTCCCAACAAAATCATACAAGTTGCGTAACTAACTGAACAGCCTAATTGTTTGCTAACTGAACCCCTTGTTTGGGTCTTCTTGAATAAACTCTCCTCGTGGATGGTTGACCTCTACTCCGAATTCCAGCAGTCATACCTCATAGTCACAAAAGAGAAAGAGGAGAAAGTGATGTTGGTTTATGGTTTCAGTGTCTGGAATTTGTGCAGGGCCAACAAGAAGAAAAGAATAACGGAGGTAACGACATTATTATGGTGGAGTTCGAGATTTTATGAAACTCAACAGTGGAATAGACGGGATAGGTCATGAAAGATGGTATCGCCTTGATATCATGTTGAAAATATAGACAGTTAGGTATCACAGGAGGAAAGAGAGGTAAAATAGACTATGAATAATACTCTATTATGTATATTAGTTGATATAAAATACAAACCACTTTCCCCTATTTATACTCATACTAAACTCTTAATCCGAATAAGTACGGACAGAAATCAGGAATTATAATTGAATATGGAAATCACTCTTAAGAGATCATAAGATACTCATAAATTACTCTAAAGATACAATCAAGATATTATGAGATATTTTTCAGATATTCTATCAAATATTGTAGTGCATTTTTCATTGACTTTGCACTTTGTTCTGGACGTTCTAACTTAATAAGTTGTTTTAGGTATCAAGGCCATACAAAATAGCTGAATTTGAGATTATATTCGGAGAGGGTGTCGGTAAGCTGGTGAGTGTTGCAGCACTAAGCATTTTTAATCTAAGTGCATATCACTATTTTGATTCTTCCTTTTGAATGCAGGGTTGCATTTTAGATTGTGCAGAAATGATGGATATTGTCTTAAAGAAAGGCTCTTGGTACAGCTATGGGGACCATCGGTATTGTCTGAAAACTTTCTTAAGCTTAATATTTATTGTTTGGATGATGCTCTTTCATGGTTTTGCTTTGTTTTTTACATCCTCCAAATTAAGGACTTGAAAGGCAACTTTTAGTCCAGCTTGATGGGAAATTGATGAGAAAATTAATTAGAACCATGTCGTTCAATTATTTGTCTGTGGGAGAACAAATTATAAATTAACAAAATAAAATAAAATTGCAGTAACCATTCAAAGGACATTACCATGAAAGAATATTTGGCAAGTAAAGAGATAGAGGGACAATGTCAAATTTCCATAATCCAGAAGAAACAAATTTACTGCTTTGTCATATAGCTTTCCATCTGATGTGACCTGCTTTTTTGTTATATAAGACATGCTTTTCATGATAATGACGACATCCCCCTCCCTTCTCCCCAGGGCCTTTATTTTCTCAAGTGGTAAAACCTAGGAGCTCATTTTTCAAGTAGGTTGTGAAATGTGTTTCATTTTTATTCGTTTGCCCTTCCACGTAATCATTCCTATTTGCTGTTGATTTTGTGGAAACAAGAATTGATTTTGTTTTTCTCTGTTGACATGTTTTCCTTACTTTTCATTGTCATTCCCATTCTCGTCTCTCAATGGTGGATGGGTTGTCTTTATAGGTTAGTTCTCATCGCTTAATGTTAATAGTCCAATTTGTGTCTTGAAACAGGTTGGGACAGGGAAGGGACAAAGCAATACAGTACTTGAAAGAGAACACACATCTTTTAGAAGAAATTGAAAAGGTTGGGTGATCTGAACCTACTGTATGCTATTGACTGTATGTTAAATTAGATCTTAACCTGCATAGTCTTCTGTCACTTGAAGCAATGAAGTGCATGCATGCTTGCTTCATGGTTGCAGCCTTATATACATGCATTATATTGTCTGGTTAAAAAACAGGAATATCAAATGATCTTGCCCAGAAAATTACCTGGTATAGTTTGGGTGCCAACTTCATTTTGTTTTTTGACTCTTACTATATATAATATACTGCTTATCAATAGAATAGAACGAGAAAAACAGTCCCCTAACGGTTTTATTCCATAGCTGCCACTGTTTCAGTTTTAATTCTCTTACCATATCCAGTTTCATCGGGTTCCCACATTACATCACTGAACCGACACCAATCTTAGGCCCATCATCAATTTAAATATTCCCCAAGGTACAAGTTCCTGCACCTATGAGCCAAAACCTTCCTCCCTTGTAACAACAATTTGTTAGCCACCCTCTGAGCGCCAGAAAACCTTTGAAATTCAACAAAATTTGCCCATAGCTTAAGCAAGCAGGGTCTCTCCCCTTCTTTGCTCTTAGATCATCCTTCACAGCACTAATCATATCTTGATCATCCACCAAATTTTCCATAAAAAAGAACATGTTATTAGGTATGCAGAACAGCTGCAAGTTCTCCTAGTCCACATCTAACATTGCTTCTTTTTACAGCCACGTATCCACTTGTTTGAAAACTCTTTTCATAGACCAAATTAAAAATTAGCATCATGTATAGTGATGCTAATTTTTAAGGATTATGTATAAGGACCAAAATTATAATTAACCACACAAGTCATTGCCACGTCATTCTCTGTTATACGATGTACACATCATGTCATTATACCATCTATAAACGATACGGATTGAATTGAGAACAATTTTATGTACAGGACCTATTTGAAAACATTTTATGTAGGAACCAAATTAAAAATAAGTTCATCAATAGAGACAGACCAAAAGATTAATTTACCCTATCTATTTCTATCCCCATAAAAAATGTCTTCTTGGTGGGCATGTAGCCTGGTTTTAGTTTCATATTATTTAATACTTTGTGTTAGATTGAACTTATCATAAAAGACAGGTTAATGAAGTAAGTAGTTTAGCTTAAGTGTTAATTTGGTAAGCACTTGCATCAATACACTGCAATATATGATGCCATATATAGAAAGATAATGTGCATCATAAGTTTACGGTGAATTGGTAAAATATGCAAAAGTTTGTGGGCATGTGGTTAACTTTCGAGATTCACAAATCCTGTATTTAAGATATGTATGATGTATTATAACAATCATGACGGACAAGATTGAATTAATTTTCAGGTAGTTAGGTCTTCATTGATTGATGGTACTAGCCTAACAAGCCTTGCATACACAAAGAATAGTCCAGCGCTCCGTCAAGATGATGATATATTTGAGGAAAGTCAAGGATAAGCAATTTGTTATTTCTGACTAGTTTGGGTGATAGGTTGCAAGCTGATAAAATTAGAAAAATTCTTTCTTCACATCAAATTGAAGTGGAGGTCGCTTTGATGATTAGGCCATTTATTGGTTCATCCTCTTGCATTGGTAAATGTTAATGAATCTGATGGCATGAGAATCATTAGAAATACAAAAGGGTGGAAATGAAAGTTTAACGAGTATGAGTGATTGTTTTTTCAACTCAATGTTCAATGAGTGCCCAATCATGTCATCCTGATTTCTATATTCGGTTCTCATCTCTTTTGCCATAATTATTTCCGTTTCCTTCTGTAATTTTTCTTTTTCTTTTGGGTCTTTAAGTTCTTGGAGCAAACTGTTGGTGATTCCTAAATCGCTCCAGTACTGTTACTGTGATTCTATAATGATCAGACCACCCTAAAAATAGTAATTAGCATGATTCTATGAGAGGAGCATACCATCACAATGTTACAATTCTTAAAAGATCGAGGTGGGAAATATCTGAGCGGAAAGTTTTAGGGTTATCTAAGAAAGAATGAGATTTTTTGCAATTTATTGCTCCTTATACACTGCATCAGAATGATGTGTTAGAAGAGAGGAATTAAACTTTGTTAGATATGGTGAGGTCAATGATGAGCGGTACAAGACTCTCAGTCATTTTGGGGGTATGTCCTAGATACAACAGTGTATCTTTGAATAGGGTACATTCCAAATTTGTTCATACAACTTCACGTAAGATATGGAATGGAAAGAAGCCTAATTTAACTTATCTCAAGGTGGGGATCTCCTACATATGTCAAGGTGTTGACATTAAGATGAGTCTAAGTGGACCAAGTGCTTGTTTGTGGGGAATTTCAAGAGAACTAAGGGATACTACTTGTACTCTCAAGAAGGCCAAAAGGTGTTTGTGTTTAAGAATGATGATTTCGTAGAGAATGATCTCCTTGCTTGAACAATGATCTCCTTGCTCGAACAACTGTAACATCCCAAGCGCTGACGAGGGCGGGAAGTGATCGTCGGTGCGAGAGGGCATGGACAAGGAGCGGCTCCTGACAGGCTTCCAGTGGGGGGTTACATGAACGAATCAATCGAATTGACACCCGAAATAGAGGGATTCCAAAGATTGTGCAGGTATGAGACTGCACAGTTTGGGATAGCTTATAAAAATTAATTGGTACTACCTATACTAACAAGATACATCTACTTTTTGGTAGCCCAGAACGGAAGAACTCCATAGTTAAGCGTGCTTGACTTGGAGCAATTCTGGGATGGGTGACCTCCTGGGAAGTTTTCTCAGGAAGTGTGCAAGTGAGGAAAAAGCACACTGAAAAGTCGCGTGTTAGTATTTGGGGATAGTCATTGATTCTTGAAGCGGCCGGACGTTACAAGTGGTATCAGAGCAGGGCCTCTCTTCTAGTACGATGTGGTTCGAGGACGAACCAGGAGGAAGCTGGTGGGCATGTAACATCCCAAGCGCTGACGAGGGCGGGGAGTGATCGCCGGTGCGAGAGGGCATGGACAAGGAGCGGCTCCTGACAGGCTTCCAGTGGGGGGTTACATGAACGAATCAATCGAATCGACACCCGAAAGAGAGGGATTCCAAAGACTGTGCAGGCATGGGGCTGCACAGTTTGGGATAACTTATAAAAATTAATTGGTGCTACCTATAATAACAAGATGCATCTACTTTTCGGTAGCCCGTATCGGAAGAACTCCACAATTAAGCGTGCTTGACTTGGAGCAATTCTGGGATTGGTGACCTCCTGGGAAGTTTTCCCGGGAAGTGTGCGAGTGAGGAAAAAGCACACTGAAAAGTCGCGTGTTAGTATGTGGGGATAGTCATTGATTCTTGAAGCGGCCGGACGTTACAACAACCAGTGGCAGAAGACTTAACTTGAAGAAATTCAAGAACAACAGGAGCATATAAAGGAACTTGAGTTTGCTACGTAGGCGCCTCTCATTTAAAGGGTAGTAAATTCAATTTTGCAGGTCTTCTAAGGTTAGTCAACCACTTAAGAGGAATAGTTTTGTGATTGAGAATCAACAGACTCTTGAAGATGATGAACCTAGCAATTATGAGGAGGTGGTCAAGGATGTTGACTCTTCCAAATGGCTTTAAACCATGGATTATGATATGGATTAGAACAAGTTCCTTGGTTCCATCTCCTGAGGGATTTGTTCCCATCAGGTGCAAGTGGGTCTTCAAGAGGAAGACTAATGCATGTGGCAATATGCAAACATATAAGGCTATGTTAGTTGCAAATGGTTACCGTCAAAGGCAAGGTATTGTCATTGATCAAACCTTCCTACTAGTTGCCATGGTCAAGTCTATCAGAATCATGCTAGCTATAACATCATTTAATGACTATAAAGTGTGGCAAATGGATGTTGAAATTATCTTCTTGAAAGGTTTCTTGAAAGAGAAAGTGCATATGATATAACTTGAAGGTTTTGAATCCAAAAGGTTGCGAGCACATGATGTGTAAACTTCAGAAATCAATATATGGGCTAAAGAAAGCATCGCGAAGTTGGAATCTTTTGATGAAGATGGTAGGAGTAACAACTTCATCAAGAACGAAGATAATAATTGTGTTTACAAGGTTAGTATGAGCTCAATCATTTTCTTGGTACTTTATGTGGATGACATATTCATCATGGCAAATGTCATTCCCATGCTCCAATCCACTAAAGCTTGGTTGTCAGAAAACTTCACCATGAAAGACTTGGGAGAAATGGCCTGTGTACGGGGTATAAAGATCTATAGAGATAAGTCAAAAAGGCTGCTTGGACTATCTTAGTCCACGTACATAGATAAGGAGCTAAGGAGGTGAAAAGAAAATATAGTTAAACAATCGCACAAGATTTGATCAAATTCGTGACATTTTTTTGGAAAATTTTGTGAGATAAAATATTCTTGCGATGGTGCCATTGTTGCAAATTTGAAAAAAATTGGAATTTTTTTTGACCAAATTTCCTTCAATGAAATGTCAGTGCGTAGATCTCGAAAAGTTAGATGGAATAAAAAAAAACCTAATTCGGACACCCGAGTTAAAAGTTATGACTTTTTGATCAAATTATTAACTTTTTTGTGCTACATGTCAATGCCGGGGCACGACCCAACACCCTGACACACCTAATTTAGCGTACGGTCGCGCCCTATTTTGATGTGGCTGGTTACAACAATACATTCAGAAATAAATTTTAAATTACTACGTTTTTGTAAGTTTTTATTTAAATAATAATATTTAAACTTTTTTGGTGAGCGTGATCATATTTTAATTCTCTATGCTACATCTAAGACAATAAAAGCTTTAAGAATGGTCTACCAAAAAAAAAAAAGCTTTAAGAATGTTGCAAAAGTAAATTGATTCCCTCCGCTCCGTGACAGTAAATGAAAGTTTTCTATACGTTGATTCATATGAAATCGATTCTTGTATCTCATCAAAATTTATGAAACTTTATACGGTATGTTTCTACATAGAAAATTGATTTGCTACCCTGCATCACTATCAACAAAAAAACTTTAGAAACATAACTACATAGAGAATTGATTCCTTGCCACATCAAATTAATACAGAATATATAAATGAACCAACTAAAAAAACCTAAAAAAAAGAATGTCTATCAATGTATTGTTGGAAATTTAGGACACCCATAATATAAATAATCATAGACAATGAATGTGAACTAAATGACACTAATAATTAGTTAAGAGCAGAGTTATATTGTTACGAAGAGGAAAAGTGGAGCTCCAAGATGAGCTAGAGACTTTGTTGTTAATATTCATGAGGAACATAAGGGCAGATATAATACATTTGGATATAAGAGTTGCAGTGAGTATATTAGAAGAAGGGTAGAAGGTTATTGGGTTAATATTGTAGCCACTGATATAGTTTGTATAAAGTGACATGGCATGGGTTAGGACATTCATACTTTGCTGTCTTAGTAATAAAACGACAGCTGTTGTACTGATACCATTCATTCAAAAAATAATAAAAGTTTTTTGTCCCTTATTCGGTTTCTCTTTCTCTGTTAAGGGTACGAACCCTTATCATTGGTGCTTCCATTCTCCATCAAAATTGAAGATCGAAGATGCGAATCCAAGAGTTAGCAGAAGAATTGGGTTCCTTTCAAGCACGGGTGGACCATAGTTTGGAGGAGATTCAACAACGTTTCGGTGACCATCAAACCCAGCTCACGAGAATCAACGTTTAGCTGCAGTAGATCCATGCAGCGGAGAATCGGGGAGAGGGGGAGGGGTGAGAACGTTCCACCGCGAGTCAACAATGAATCTTTAGGATCTAATCACCTTTGATTTGATCCTAATGACTCCAGAAATGTGATGAAATCAGTGAAAATGGATTTTCCCTCTTTTGATGGGAAGGATCCCACCAGTTGGATTTTTAGGCTGGAATTGTATTTCGGCTTGCAGCAAATACCTGAGTCCCTCAAGGTTCAGTTGGCAGGCATGAAGATGGAGGGAATGGAAGGTCTGTGGTTCCAGTGGCTATTTAGCGGAGGAACAATTCAGAATTGGGGGGATCTTAAACATGCAGTGAAGCAACGTTTTGGGGGTACATCTTACATGGATTTGAGAGGCGTTTTATCCAAGTTGACTCAGGAAGGAGCCATCACTGAATACATTCGGAGTTTTGAGTCTCTGATTAACCAGGTGACTGATTTTTCAGATGAGTGTTAATATGTTTTTTTGTTTCTGGATTACAACCAGAATTCAGAAGGGCTATACAATTACATAAACCCACAACCCTGCATCAGGCTATGCAATTAGCCATCACTTATGAAGCCCATTTCACAGAGCTACGTTCGTCCTTGACGCCTACTACCAAGAAATTTTTTCCCAAGCCAATTTCGGTTGTGGAACATAATCCACCAAATGAGGCAGTGCAACCAGTGAAACCATTCCTCCCAGCCTTACCTTCGAATGTCCCTATCATTTTTTTTTCCAATGAGTACTTACAGAAACGTAGAGAAGCAGGACTTTGTTACACTTATGATGACAAGTGGACATCCAAACATAGATGCAAGGCTAAGTTATTGATGATGGTAGGAGAGTTCGATAATGATGAAGAGGATCTAGATGAGCACATAGTATGGCAACCTGAGCAAGGGCAGCAGGAATGTCATGATGCAGCTCTTCATTCTCTTGAATGTGATCAGAATCCCAGAGCCTTACAATTCAAGGTTTCATTAGGTGGAAGGTTAGTTTCAATTTTAATTGATTCAGGTAGC